TGTGCATTTCCATTTTGCATGTAGCCCTCAATTTGAAATCTGCTGGTGACATTGGAGAAATTTAAACAAGCTAAAAAGTGTTTAAGGAAAACAACCCCACAGAGTGTTTTTCTTACTTAAACTGGTACATGGTTGGGAAAGAGCCAGTTCTAACTGCCACAGTGGAGCAAAGTTAATTGAACACTGATACTTATCTCTAGGTGTTATTTTTGGCCACTGGCTTGCTTTCTACCCCAGTAAAATCATTATTGGAAATGAATTTTGTTACAGACTGTTGATGTTCGTAGACATTTTACTGAGGACCAGCTTCCTCCTTACTAAGTAAAATGTGGCATATCACACTGTTCAAGTACAGAGATCGTCTGCTAATGTAAATGTATTCCTGTTGAACTTAATGCATGTCGGGTTTTTTCCAGGACTTTAATGCTGAAATTTCCCATAAAGCTGTCCCCTTCGAGGCTTGTGTTTAGTAAAGCTGTCCCCTTCGAGGCTTGTGTTTAGTTTGATCGTTTGAAGTTCCTTCTTTGTGGTAGTATCTGTTTAATTTTCTGAGTCCTTGGAAATGGGCAAGTGGGACCCAGCTGGCAGCTTTGGTATTTACATGTATTGTTTATTCATTAACAATGTTGGTTATTTTCACTTGTTTCATGTTCTAGTTCATGGGGAGATTTCCTTTTGGATTCCCTTTCCGGGCTTGTATTTGACATTGCAAAGGAAGATGTGGCATTGAGGACTGGGATACCCCGGCAGATGGTCATGGTGAGAACAGGATTACATAGAAATGGGGGTGGCAAGCCAGGGGCCAGGGCAGGCACAGCCCTGCCAACTAGGGACCCAAGGACCTTCTTCCCAGATGAAGTGAGCTAGCCTTCTGTGCTGGTCTGCTGAGCTGCCAGGGTTACACAGCAAACGGAGTGTGGCTTCATGTGGGACCATTCATCTGGGGCCATCTGAGACTCTTGTTGAAAGGTGTTTTCGTGTATTTTCACAGTAGTAAGACTGGGAATATTGGCTGAATAACTAGTTGAACAAATAAACATGGACACAAGTCTATACATTGTACACATCAGCTTTCTAGTTCAAGAAGAGGCACATGCAGACCTGGGTCTTGGTATGCTCCTTGGGTTTCCCGCCCATTTCTGCATTTGGAACAGGAGTACTCTTTGGCTAGCTTCTAGACAGTAAGTTGATTTGGCTGAGTAAAACAAAGGTTGCTTTCATGACCTAACATGATCAGTGACAGGGTTTCCAAAGACAGAGCCTGAACTGTACTATATTCCCAAGGATCCCCCTTTCCAAGCAAAATTCTGAAAATTGTTTTAGTTACTGTTTTTAACTTACATTTTAACAAATGATAGACAATGTAAGATGAACGTTGTGTACAGAGAAGTAATAGGCTTCCTTAAGGTTCAGGCTGTCCATCCCCACCATGGAATGGCATGGTGTATGTCAGTGGGTATTAGTCTGTGTGTTGGAATTGAGGCTCCGGATACTACAGTGAACACTGATATGGGCAGCTACCTCCACCAGCATCCAGTCAGGGTTCGTGTCTTTACTTTCAGCACGTGGAAACCCCAACTGCTGCACTAAGAAAGTTGAGTGGCTTTCTAAGGACCCTTGCAAACCAGCTGGAGGACAGAAAAGAACTCCTGTCATCAGACATGAAGAAGGATTTTGTCATGCACAGACTTCCCCCTTACTACATGGAAAGTGGAATAGACCTGTTGGAACCAGGTGGAGCTTGATGTTCCCTTCTGGGTGTTTGGGGGTGGTAGGGAATGCTTGATACTTCACTGACTGGTCTCCACTTTGAGCACATGGGATATAGGAAACATTTTAGGCTTCATGTGGCCAGCAATCTCTCCTTAGTGTATGTGGTTGACAGACATGCTGTCCCCATTACTCCCAAGTCATTTGACTACAATATGACAGGAAATAACTAATTTTGGTTGAGAAATACATTTATGAAATGTCTGTTTATTCATCATCTTCAGAAATGTTGAAGTACTTGAATGTTGACATCTTGTTAGAATTAAGGCAAACATGTTAAAATGCTGTCCCCCACCAGGTAAATAAAAGAATGGTCAAAGATAGCATGGATCTCCCATGCTGTAGGTGACTAATAGTGTCTAGTCTTCAACTGATATAATATAGGTGCTGTCAGTGTCCTGTAGCAAAAGCCACCAGGAACACACTCCCAAATTCAAAGTTGCAACAGGAAAGCTGTACACATTGAGAACTGTACAAAGGCATTAGAAAGGACTTACGGGGTGTAGGCCTAATCTTGGATGTTTTGGAGTTTTGAGAACTCATGGAAGCATTGGTACGGGTTGGTGCTGTCTGGAAGTTGGTGGGTCTCTTCTAAGTAATACCCAGTGAATGGGAAGAATGTATGAGGCTCTAGTTACCTCAGATCAGCAGCACCTTCATTCAGGAACCAGGGTAGAGGAGAGTTTTTGGTTTAGCTTGAGTTCAGACCCAGTTATGCGTGGTGGTACTTTACATTTTGATCAGTCATGGTGATTTTGGCTGACAATGATGTTCTGTTAAACAGTGTTCAAGAGAATGCTGAGACCTAGTACTAACTGGGGCTAGCCCTTTCAGTCAGCAAGAATCTTTTCCTTATGAAAGTCTCACCTATCACAAGGTCAAACCACTAAAGTACGTAAGTCCCTACTTACAGTGATCCTATATATATCTTTATAATACACAGTCTTTGAAGGAAGTTTAGAATTTAATTTTGATTGCATCTATTCACAATGGCACATTCTACCAGTAATGTATTACTTTAGAACATAACTTGCTAAATAAATCCCTGCATATGTTCCAGAGTGTTTATGTAATTGTTTCCCTAGTTTAGCTACTATATTCAATAAAATTATTTTTTTTAAATACTTTCCAGACCAGATGACCCTATAAGGCTAGCTTGTTTCTTGTGGTCCTTTTCATTTTAGTTCACTTTAGAAATAGAGTACAGTTTTGTTCTGTGGGTGGTCTTAAAGGACACAATATTTCACTTAAATGAACTAAATCATGTACCATTGTCACACAGCTCATTCTTCTCAGACCCCTCGTGTATGAGAGAGGTGAGCATTCACATAGAAAACAACACAGTTCGTTCTGTCCATCCACTGTGCTTTGGTGGGCTTGTTTATATCTAATGAATGTACTTTTGTGTGTGGGATTGGGAATTGAATACAGGGCTTTGTGCATTGTTAGGTAAGCAGCCTCCACTGAGTCCCACACCTAGCCCTTTAATTCACTATTAATTTGCATTTTATTACCTAATGATATGTCTGTATCACTATAAGAAAGAGGTCCATGGGGGTGCAAGCTGCAATCACCATGCTTGTTGGAGTGAGTACTTGGGAGAGTATGAGTTATAAGTGCATTTGCAAGCAAGTTTGAACTTGTTGGTTCCTTTTTGATAGTTGGTTTTCTCTTCTAGGTATAAAGTTCCCAACGTTGGACAGCACAGTAAGACTGCAATTTAAAGACCACACTGTCATCACAGTAGGACCAGATGAGAATCAGTCTGTGAGTATCTAGAGGCAAGATAGTTCCTCTACTTACACTAGTTCCTACTTACTCCAGTTAGGTAATGCCTGTCTCATTGGTCCAAACTGTCCTTCCTATTGGGAGTTCAAGGGCTTACCTTCTCATGTGAATGTTTCTGGTCTTTGCTTCCTACTGTACTTCTGGTTACACTACTCTTGCATGAACTTGTATTGGCTCAGTCCCTCTTATTCTCTATACTGCAGAGACCTGGCTTTAATTCTATAGTAGTAGATCATGGAGAATAAAATAAATACCCTATAATTTGGCGTTTTAATTCAGTGCTTCTCCAAATTTCTGTGGCTAGAGTGATGGCTAAGTAGTTAAGAGCACAGAAGACCCAGGTTTGATGCTGTGTGCCTAATTCTAGCAGGTCTCTATGAATTCAAGGACAGCCAGAGCTACAGTGAGCATCCCCATCTCCCCTCAAAAGAAAGATTTTTTGTGGTGAATTATTTGTTAAAACACCTTAACCCCCCCCCCCAAGTACTGAAGCCCTCAATACTTTTCTTGTTGATAACTGACATTTTCTCTGAAGGATGAAGCTCCACAAAAGGTGATTTACATCTATCATTCACTAAAGAATCTGAGACAGACACACATGATGGGAAAAGATGATGAAGCAGAGGTGTGTTCCAACTGGGAAAAAAAAGTTTCCTGTGGTTTGGGTTGTGGCTGGGATAATTACTTGAGATTGCTAGGTCATGTGCATCTACAGGTACAGTGTGGACACACCATTTACTTAGGACACTATTGCACAGGGATGATTAAGTCCGCTTAAAACAGTGTGACATGGGAAAAGTGTGAATGCCAAACATTTTGCAACAGCTTTACTCTCGAAGTAGGTTGTTGGTCTACACTTTCATGTGGGAATTAATGACTTTTGTGAATATCTAAACAAATCTCATACTTGAAGTGTATATATCTATAAATTTATGCATAAATCTATGGAGTGATTGTGCAGCTTTGGAGCCTATCCTGGCACTCGCTCTGGAGACGATGCTGACCTTGAACTCAGATTTCGCCTGCCTCCTGAGTGCTGGGATTAAAGGTGCGAGTCACCAATGCCCAGCTTGCAGTGATTTTTTTTTTTT